TTAAAAAAAATTAAAATTAAAAGAAAAATCAGATAATTGATCATATTTTTATGGAACACAACTACCCATTATCTTTTTTAATTCTAAAAATAAAATAAAAAATAAAAAAAATAAAACCAATTGGCACATGCGTGAGCATGTGCCAAGGGGCTAGTTCTAATTATAGTAATCTTCAAATAATTTTTCAATGTGACTATAATAACGATCAAATTATTGATGCAAGCGATATTGAGAGAAGAGAGTTTTCAATGTGAAGGTAACAAGGATCAAATTATTGGCAAGAACACAATGTTGTTAGTGCTCTTTAACAATTTAAATTATAGATATTTAGTGATATCCCTATTTTTAGCACTAATAGTATAGATAAACCCTACACTATTGAATTTCTATAAATAAATAATAAAAAATTTAAAAAATGACAACTGACTAACCCTACACTATTGAATTTCTATAAATAAATAATAAAAAATCCAAAAAATGACAACTGAATTTATTGAATTTAATATTAATTATTAAATTACTTTGATGCCCTATTGAGTGTTTTGGGTATTTTTATGAGATTTTGGGGTTAGACTTGTTTTAAGAAATTGATGGCAATTTTGTAATTTATAAGAAGTTAAAAGCCTATTTGTTATGTTGAAAATGAGTTTTGGGTGTGTTTCTAAAATCCATTTCATATGAGGTATTTTTATAATTTGGGCCCCTATATTGGATATAATAGTGAATTTACCTTTAAATTATTAACTAAGGGCGTTTTGGTAAATTAATTGCCAGTTATCTTATAATGTATAATGCATATGGCCAATCAACCCAACCAGATACCTCTTTCTTCCTGCGCTCTTCTTGAACCAGAGTAGAACTTCTGCAGACTGTAGGGTCAATGGCTGATCACCATCATGATCATGACCACCACAACCAAGGCCATGAACATCACCACCATCATGATCATGAGCATGATCATAGCCATGGGAGTTCAGGAACAAATTCATGGGTAGGCCCAGATGGGAAGGTGTACCATAGCCATGATGGGCTGGCGCCACACTCGCACGAACCCATATACTCCCCTGGCTACTTCAGCAGAAGAGCTCCACCTCTTCTCACCAGGAATTTCAGTGAAAGGGCTTTTACTATTGGCATTGGTGGACCAGTTGGTACTGGGTAAGTGGGTATCTATCTCCTCTGTCTCCCTTTAATTAATTTGTATTCTATTTTGCATTATTGAGAATAATATCACAATCATAAATTTGTATCATTAGCTTAAAAAGAGTAAGAAATGAATGATTTAAATGTTGACACTTTACTTTTATCATAATTCAGCTTTTGTGTTATTAGGTATCTACTATTTAGTGGGTAGCTCAGATTTTCTCTTTGTTGATTGAGTAGTGTGCCTGTTACAATCTCCTCACTTTTTTTTGACTCATCTGTTTTGTGCATATCTTTTCTCAATTTCATCAATTGGGGTTCTATTATTTTCCCCAGATTTCCCCTGGAAATTGTTCAGTTGTTTGGATAGTGTACAAGTAATATAAACATCCTTATTGTATAGCATAAGCTATTGATAACTTAGTTTGATTCATTTTGAATGGCTTTGAGTATTTCCTGATTCAAAATTCGTGCCTGGATTACTTTTCTTAGTCGTGAAGATCGCATTGCTAGTGTGAATCAAACTATTTAGTGAGAGTTGATGAATGCTGCTTCATGCCATACAGGAAAACCGCTTTGATGCTGGCTCTGTGTACGCTTTTGCGTGACAAGTACAGTCTTGCTGCTGTGAGTAACTTTTATTATTTACTATTTTATATAATTTCAAAGGTTTAATTGGCTATATCTTTTTAACATCATATTGTAGCCTTGCATAGTATTTTCTAATGTAAGCAAAGACCTGAAAGCCCATGTTTCAAGTTGATTGAGGCAAGGCTAAAGATAAGCTTGATGTAGGATGTAAAACCCTGCATGACGAAAGATAATATGTGTAACAATTGCAGGTGACAAATGATATATTCACAAAAGAGGATGGTGAGTTCTTGGTGAAACACGGGGCACTTCCTGAAGAAAGAATACGTGCTGTTGAAACTGGGGGATGCCCGCACGCTGCAATTCGTGAAGACATCAGCATTAATCTAGGCCCTCTCGAGGAGCTTTCTAACTTGTACAAGACAGACATACTGCTTTGTGAATCAGGCGGAGGTATTTTTCAGAAGCAATTAGATGACTGGTCATAGCTTATGTTCAGCTGATCTGACCTGATCATTTAAGTTGGATTATTACAAATGACTAATGGTGATGAGGGTTGCAATGGAACTGCATTAATAAACTTGAAAAAAATGGCTTTATGGAGTTATCTGGAATTAGGTATGAAAGAAAAATGCCGTTTGATGAATGCAAAGCTTTGAAAAGATTAAGTTGGGGCAGAAATGCTTATTGTACAGTTGCATGAATGGGAATGTTTTGTATGTCAACAATCAGCCATTGGCTGAATTGAGCTTTCTTATGCATGTTCTTATTATTCTTTTGAAATACTATCCAATTGAGTTTGTGCTGGTGCAGATAATTTAGCTGCGAACTTCAGTCGGGAACTGGCTGACTATATCATTTACATAATAGATGTATCTGGTGGTGATAAAATTCCACGAAAAGGTGGTCCTGGAATCACCCAAGCTGACCTACTAGTATGTGCTTTCTGATATTCATTGCTACAGCTATTGTGGATACCATATCTGTCATGTGTACCAATTTCAGGGATTTGTATGTGAATGACGCCTTTAACATTTGATTGTAGGTGATCAACAAGACCGACCTTGCACCAGCAGTTGGAGCTGATTTGGCCATAATGGAACGTGATGCACTTCGAATGCGAGACGGAGGGCCA